GCTCGAGTGTGGGGGGGGGGGGGGGGCACTGTGCAAGGCAAGAGTGTAACAATGTGCTAATATGCTGCTCATACTTGGACAATATGATAAAACCAGCTGGAGGGCCCAGAAAGGTTTAATTCCCCTTTAACCTATCCAATCTTGTACAGAATTATTGTGTAGATATTATCTGCACATGAGGCTAACAAAAACGCAAAAATGCGCATTTCAAGAACCGGCTAAAATTCGCACAGCAGGTGCTACTGTTGGCACCCTTTCGGCCGGCATCCCTCGATCAGTTGATTGAAGTAGCCAGTCAGAAAATCTTCACCCAAACAGAGCCGGCAGCCAATGAGAATACAGAGCAAACAGCGGGACATTGCCCAATCAATCGGAGGCGTTGATGGAGGAATCTGTAATATTTTCTTCTTTCAGCCCACAGATTGAACAAAGAAAATATTAGTGTATGTGCAGCTTTACTTCCTGGATTTCTCTTAAGAACAAGGTGGTCTGGGAAGTTACTTTCCTGAAATCAAAGTAAAATCTGCCCCTCCACGTCCCCAATCTTCCTAGCTGTTCCCCTTCTGCTTCTCTGTGCAGACCGGCAGGATCAGTCCTTGTCCTCATAGAAGTTTATAGGGAAAAATGAAAAAAGACTAAAAAGGTGACCACACAAGTATTCTAGATCATACAATTGCTCAATGTTTGCTCTATGGAATAGTAACCCACACCCCCTCCGTTAGCTCAATTAACATCCATTCACACCTGAGTGTTTTCTAACTGAAATGCATGAGTGCGACATCACTGAACAGGAGGAATCCCATTGTTGTCTATGGCCCCTGTTAACCCCAGAGCATTGCACCCACTTTAATAAGGAAGTGTGCCTTTTTTTTTTACAAAAGCTAGAATTTCCCTTTAAAAAGGAGAATTATGAAGCGAGTGATTTTCACTCAGCCTCATAACCTGAGCCGACCTGTGACATTGAAACTGTCACAGATCGGCTCAGTAGATCGGGAAGTGAGCGAACACATACCGTCGCTCGCTCACTTCTCGATCTATCCCTGCAGAAAGCTGTGACTGTCACTCACAGCTCCCTGCAGGGATTCCCCCCTCCCCGTCCGATCCTCCAGTGCTGACTGGCGGAATGGACGGGTCGGGCACAGCTGCCTCTGGATAGGCAGAGCCAACTGTCAATCCCCCAGCTGGGTGGATCTCGACAGGAATGTCGAGATCCGTTCCGGCATCTCAGTATACAGAGCTTTGGGTCACGGGAGAACGCTAGTTTGTGTTCTCCCGTGACCCTTAGAACTATGGGGAAAAGCCCTGACCCCATAGTTCTCCTTTAACAGAAGACCACGTCGCTAATCATTTTTATGCCTAGTAACTAGCTCTGTATTGTGGGCAATGGAAGAACGCACATATAAAAAACACACAAAAATGTGCAAGATGCTTCTGCTGTGCATTTTCAGGCATGTCCATTGGGGTCTATGGGGCAAAAACACACTTTAACTGCCTAAAGAAGCTAATGTACCTTTTCAGGGGTTTGGCATTTTTCTGCTCAGGTGTGAACCAGGGACATTGGAAATCATGAGATTTCTTGTGTTGAGCAGTTATAAATCGCTTTTCAAACTGCTCACAATCTCCTAGGTGTGAACCAGGGCTAAAACAGACCCCATGTAATAGATCATCCCTCATAGATCGTATTGTCTGTGCATCATCTACTAGATTATTGATGATCACTCATTTGTCATCGCTCACACCACAGATTGCTACGTGTATTAGACCCAGATGATGGTGGGAAACAGTTCATTTAAATTTCTATGGGGGGGGG